GTATGGTTCTTCAATAAAATCTTGTAGATTTTTCAGCGGTTTTTGAGCGCGCGCACATCGTGCATGGGCTCAAATCGAACGTTCAAAAGTAGGCAGCCACCTTAGGCTTGATTATCATATAATTATCCATAAAATGCCTATATTTCTCCTTTTCGAAAAACTGATATTTTCACATGTGAAAATAACATGTTATTTTCACACGTGAAAATATCGTTACCATGTGTATTTAAGCTATTAGTTTATRAATAAAAACTTTTTATACTAATGAAAAGCTTGTTAAGCTGATTTTATGGATAAWTATATAATAAACAGAATATTACATGGGCGCTTGGAGATACGAAATTTATCTTCTCGTGTTGAAAATCTCTCTTTCGCTGCGCTCACTCATGAGAGATCTTTTYAACACTCGAAGATAAATTTCGTATCTCCGCGCGCCCATGTAATATCCTCTATATATTTCCAGCAAAGGTAAATGTYCAAAAAAATATCTAGAGCTGAACTCGTCGACTTCGAATTGTGTCAAAAGAGTCACCAATGCTCAAGTTGTTAATAAGATGTAAGAAAGTACGTTTACATTCTGAATAACTAAATGAAGTTGGGGCTGAGAGGGTTAAACATAGCCATTAAATGGAGAACTCGTGGATATTGAACTGTATTTATTTTGAGTTATAACTATTGAGTAGAAGTTATCATATGAGTTATTTTCTGATTGCGATTGATTGGTTTTAGAATTTTACCCTTTTGTTCATCTATCCCTTGCAAAATAATTGATTGCGGAATCTTTTAAATTCATTAATGATGTATTTATATTATACATTTGTAARAAGGCAGACGGGGTATTGAAAAACACTTTGATTGATTGTCTTTATTGCTCTTTAGTGTCATATTATGTTACACAAATGATTACTGAAGACAGAGTGAAGGCATTTAACCAGTGAAATAAAAATTATAGAGCTTGAGGGCTAAATTAACTGGAACGTTTTCTAGTTATTTGTCTATCTGGTAGATATATCGAATGGGAAAAATATTCTTTACATTTTTCCTAATTATAGGTAGTCATTGGTACCTAAAATCCCTGGTAAAGTAATTGTTAATTGGAATTTTAAGGGGTTCAAATAGACACAAAAGAAAACCATGGAATTAGGGTTTACTAATGGGTATTAGTCTTGTCATAGGACAATTCAATATGTTGGCCAAGTTTGATTATTGTAGATCATCATAGAAAACAGATTATCAAGCACGAAACTTAAGTAGGAATCGATTAATCAATTAAGAAAAGTAGGTCTATTTGCTCTGAGTGTTATTTCTAGGATTATATGAATAGGCTCGACATTTTGGTTMCACATGTCACAAGGGAGAACAGAAACGCATGTCAAAGTTAAACAGAATCAATTGATCGGTAAGCAAGAAACGTGTTTCTCGGAACCAAAATGTCAGTCCTAATGGTTTGCTTGAGGTTAARGTCGACAGCTCAGCACGTGGAGTTGTTGGCCATCTGAGCAAACATTCTATTCACTTTTGACATCTCTAAAGCTTTTGTTCTCTGATAGTACTGCATTAATCGGGTGTGTCAACAATCTGTTGACATCCCAACTTTAGTCTCAATAATCTCCTTCATTTTTGTTTCAAACTTGAATCACCTTCAAGTGGTAATTAGTTAAGTTAAGTGTATAGTTACTACTGTATGATCTATGCGATTTAGAGTTTAGTAAATCATAGGAATTTGGGTTAGTTCGAATTCCTCCTCGGGAATTGGGAACTAGCTCATTAACTCCTCTGAGTCGCATTGACCAATCACAGTTAGCGTCAGGTCATTATCGGTTTGACGTCACTTTCTATAGACCACAAATAATACTTAACATACGTAGCACWCACTAAGAGTTAGTTCGAGTTCGAGTTCAAATTCACACTAAGAGATAGAAGAGAAGAATACAGACCAATAGTTATTAGACGAGTGAAGAAGACAACCGAGCGAATAAAAGACCAGAAAAAGAAAAAGTCTACGTGTGTGTACGGTGGGACGAGCTAGTCCGCCCCATTCCAGTCATCGGGAAAAACACCACGTCACAGTCTTATGAGCGGCGGTCTGTAAAAATCAACTAAAGGTGTGCAAAATAAAATAATAATAAAAAATCGAAATATTTCTTCCTTAGCCCAGATGAACTATTAATGGGAAAAATACTTAAAAAACCTGAATCTCATCAGATTTTTATTTTAGGAGAACGGCGCGATTTTCTGTTTTCCCGGTTGAGGACTACATTTCACCGCACCTCACAAAAAATTCTAAATCAAAAACTAAATCAAAAACTAAATTAATATTACAAAAGAAGAGATATTTCCGATAATTCTAGAGGTTATTTTTTAACATTATCGATAATTCGAATTTTTACAGAATTTCTAACTTGAGTGAATTTTCACGCATGAAAATATCGCTWAACTTGAACGTCGAAAATCGCACATTGCTACATGCTCCGAGGCAATGAGACTACAACCAGATTAAACCACAATGTTATCGATGAACTAACACTATAGTGAGTGAGTGAGTGAGTGAGTGAGTGAGTGAGTGAGTGAGTGAGACATTTGCATGTTCAAACCCTTCACAATAACTCAATTCTACGCTACACGTATCCACTTTTAAAAACTGAGGCTTAGCATAAGATTTGTAAAATCCTTCTATTTTAACAGACATTCAATTAAGCAATCACCAATAAACTAATGGAAGATGAGATTTTACGAGAGGATATCGAAGCTGTAATGAATAAACTTACCAAAGAAAACAAGAAGAGTAAGGAAAAAGCTAAACTACTGGAATCTCCATTAACTAGAGCATATCATGTGGAATCAGGAGAGGGGAAGCGTCTCCAATGTTTGCAACCTTGCATTTCAGTGCAGCGTGTTTCAATTCGTAACGATGGATTGCTTCAGGATTAGATGTTCTGGTTGATATTAATAAACCACCATAGCAGTTGGAAAATGGATCGAAAGAATGGCGAAGTTAAAGATTGAAAAGCTATTAAAAGCTAAATCGGTAGTTTTATAGTAGTGTGCAACCTGCTTTGTATTTTCATCTTACAATTTGTTGATATTTGACTACTATTTGTCGCGGGACATTTCGACCGTTCTGTCATCTTTTTCGCGGGTCGGAAATGTTTCTTTTACTTATTAGGTAATATTCTTTGTTATTGTATTTTTTCTAGAAAATTTGAATAAATGATCATTTGGCTTTAAAGATCTGTCAGTTGATTTGTTGTTCTCTCAAACATCATATMGATCTTCTTGAATAAGTCAGATTGGAAACCAAACGATTCATCCATTTTCTCTATAACTTCTCTATAAATTATAAAATGCGGCTCTTTATTTTCTCTTTAATTGTGAAACAAATATTCAGTTGTAGTTTATTTATTTATTTTTTGTTCATTGAAAGATGTTTTAAGATTTTTTTTAATTTTAGGAATTTCATTTCGATACTTAGGTAATTTCGAGGATCAAGGTTGTTCAACGGCTAGACACAGGTAGTCCAAAAATGGTTTTATAAGCTCAAACTGTATTTTAAAGTTCTTACTGATTATYAATTTATAAGAGCGAGCTTGAAATGGAAGCTTCCGGTCCCTGAAAGTCAGCAGAATCGCATAAGACTACATAATTTACCTAGAATAGTTATGCCTATTTTGAAAGAGCAATCTCAGCTCCATAGCCCTATTAATTGAACGATTATTAAACTCGTAGGCCGCCATAATCTGTTATTTAATTGTCTATTATCGAGAACGTTGGATTGGTATTTCTATTTTTGTACCGTATGTTCGCTTTGAAATCATATGCTGATAACCGATTTATCACAACATGGCCGTGGTGTACTTCGTCTCTAGGGCTCCATAAAAGCTTTAACGCTAAGGGAAAGATATGGACTTTCAGTTGACAGATTTTCTTCATAAATGGCATGCATAATGCTCGATGTCGTAGGTTCTTGAGGTAGGTTATTGAGGTAGGTTCTTGAGGTAGGTTCTTGATATTTTTCTTCTTAAAATTCGACCTTTAATTAAAATTGCCTATGACACTATGCCCATGAGAAATGTTGAAATATTTTTTTGGATTTTGACGCTTCTTTCTATTTTTTTCYGTGTAGTTAAAAGTGCAATTTCAAAAACATGACCGAGCGACAAGGGAGACTGGGCTTGTGACGTCAGAGGACATCTAYATCTAGCACTCTCTAGCTATTTGCTGTCATTGTACTTCGTTTTCATCKTAATTTTCGTTTTTATGACCACGTTGCATTTCAAAAGTGGAAGGTTTGATAATTAAGACATGATATAGGCCGATACATTGATAAAATCGCTAGCCAAAAATAAAAATTAATGCTTTTTACTCTGACTATCAGACCGGTTCTAATGACTCTGTGAATATATAAGCCCGCYAAGACATGGGCAATGCGCGCCTACGAATATAAGCGTGCAAAGTGTCATGAGGACAACYGACAACTGAACTGAGGTAACTGATRTCAGTTACATCAGTTCATTCATCACTGTATGMCGAACTACGTACCCGATGTTTATATCAGTGTTTTGTAGATTACTGTAAGGAAACAAGTCATGGAACATAGAAAATATATTATTAACTRATTATATATAATTATTAACCGCCAACCAGTTGACTTTCGTGTGGGAGGTCGTGGTTCGAGTCCCGGCTTTGTAATTACATCTGTTAGATTTTCAAGTGGCTCGGATGACCACTTTAAATGGCGTCTCTCCACACTCATCATTACTAACCAACATCGGAGGGACGTAAAAGAACCACTGAGGACGTAAAAAAACTGTGCCTACATCTCATACTAACCATCTCTCATGCTTGTAAATTGCATAAAAAGCAATCTGTTATTCACAACTCAATGTAAAGCGCCTTTGATTATATCCATAAAGAAGGGGCGCTATACACCCTTCTCATAATGGCTGACAAGTGCACRAAAACGAGGTCACCCAGTCATTATTTCACGATAAAAGATATAAAATTACATGAAATGACTTTAATAAAGAAGAAAAATGTAAAAAAATGACCTTTGTTTTGATCTGAATTAGCGCTAACAGCCTTTATTTTGAATGAGCAGCTTGGCTCAACCTTGCAAGATGACTGGGTGACCTCGTTTCCGTGCGTTCATCAGCCATTATGAGAAGCTAGGGTGTATATAAATCATAAATCATAATCATTATTATTATTATCATTACTTCACTAAKGCTATCTAATCATTGGGTTAGATTCGTTAAGATTTGATTGATCTAGTCAGTCTGACTACATCAGATGACGGAGGCCCTTAGTGTTTTGAAGTCGTAAATAAATGTATGAACGTTATTTAAAACATCTAATATTTCCTCACATCTTKTTTTGCGCTAAAAGAACAGAAAATTTTGTATTCAATACAAGGAAAATTTAGAGAGAATAAGGGAGCGTCTAACATCAACTTGCTCCTTTGACATCACAGCCCAATCTACCAAATCGTCACTTATCTCGGCCAGAAGTTGAAAAATGGTAGATTTTTTGTATGACCGCTCAAAAGAAGAAGAAGAAGAAGAAGAAGAAAAATTGAAAGAAGCGTCAAAATTAAACAGCTCTTCCAACAAGGATCTTATATTATATAACGAATAAGTAATATAGGCGCTCTAATCAATTTTTACATATACGAGTAATTTAACACTAGTCGTACACTGAACAAGATCAGTGGACATGGATTGAAACCGTTGTAAAAAAAAAAAAAAAAAAAACTACCGTGTTTAAAAATACTTACACTAGCAGAGCTTGTCTGCCTTAACATCAAATATTCATTGCTATTGGACGTGTAAACACGCGTTATTAGTTCCTTGACAGCACTCTGGTTCAGCGGCAAACCTTTTTCAACTGTTTCTACCTGTAACAAGGGTTCAAAATTGTTAAAAAGTAGGTAAACGCACTTGCAACTACATGCGATACAAAAATGCCCGAAATCAACAACATGTCCTCTTAATTTGGAGATCCAGTTTACCTTGACTTTGAGTATCTTAGCATCTCGTGGRATATCAATTCGTAACTCTGCCTGGCCGTCAGTCCCGGTACTATCTTTCTTCGCCTCAGATTTACCATCACCCGCATGTCGACCAACTTCGGTCGCTGAACCGTCGCTATTGATCGAAGAARCSGAAATTYTGACATCGATKTTTGRCGCAGGCTTATCATCAGGAAACGACACTATGACCTATAAACATAGAACGTACGGCATGAATGTTAGTATCTCTTCACATCCCTTATAAAACATGAATATTGTATTGCATGATGTCTCTATGATTGTAGTTTCTAATGAATATAGCTGTTATACAAACTAAATTCCAAACCTAATGCTCCTAGCTCGATAAAGAACCGTCAAGCGATTGCATTTCTGGTTCTAGAACGAAAAAATCGCGCTTCGTTTGCGGCCGGCATATTTTTCGTCACATATGCACACTGCCGGTCACAGAACTCAAATGACTAAATGGCCGGCAGTCGAATTAAAAAAAGAAAAATTATTCAAACATGAGTTTCAAAAGGAATGAAAATATATTTTCTCGAATAGATTGTATAAATTGTATTTGGATCAAAATTTAACAGTTATTGACTTCYCTAACATTTAGCAGTGTTCACTCCCCTAAAATATTGGTGCGGTCTGCTTTCTTGGAGAGAGGAGGAGAGAGTTAGGGAATCCCCCTCAAAATGGCCATTTTGTCTCTAAAAAGAACATAGAATTACCTCAACTTTAACACAACATACAAGCTGTGTTTTCAATTGCCCAGATATAAAACGTTGTCATAACAAAGAAGAAATATCACTTAGTGCTCCTTTGCATGGAGGTGCCATTATCTTTGAAACTGTTGGCATGGCAACCATAAGTTTGAATTTGATTTTTTTTTTTTTAAATTAAACTGCCGGCCATTTAGTCATATGTGACGAAAAATATGCCGGCCGCAAACGAAGCACGATTTTTTCGTTCTAGAACCAGAAATGCAATCGCTTGACGGTTCTTTATCGAGCTATGAGCATTAGGTTTGGAATTTAGTTTGTATAACCTTGATTTTTTTTACAAAAATTAGACTGCCGGCCATTTAGTCATTTGAGTTCTGTGACCGGCTGCCGGTCATTTAGACACTTCGTTTTTTATATGACTTGAAAGTCAAAAGAATATTTGACTACAGACTCAACTGTAGTAAAATCTATACCTGGACAGCAACATGAAAAACCTGTGGGAAAACACCAATAGTCCTTTTGAAAAGCCGCCGGGTAAATCTAGGAAACATCCGCTCCAATCCTACCTTCTAGTAGCATTTATTGTTTAGCACAAACAGTTTCTTTTTCTTACCTTGACAGAAAACGGCATGCCTGGTTTGAAGTATTTGGCTGTTTTGTAGAACTTGATGCGGTATTTAGAAGAGGAGAAAAAGATGGAGTTTTCTATTGCATGTTCAGTGATACCAGTCGATGATTCTGTTACATCAGCCTCGAYTTGGAGACGMCTTCCTTCGGGAAACCAAATGTTGCCCGGTAAATCCATTATGTGACGTTGTTTGATCGTTATTGTTGCAAGACCTTTCCGAATCTGTGTTTGAAAACATTAGTAGGTATATTTTGATGGCTAAATATATGCATAAAATAGAAATCACGAAATAAAATCAAAACATACTMGCATTCTGTATGAACTTATAAGAATGGGTTCTTGCTTCATGCCAACAATTTTGATACGAACTGCTAAAGTTCCTTGCACGGACTTTCCATGGGTATAACTTAAAGTAAAACATCGAGACAGTATTAATTTAGGGAAAACGTTTTTCTTTTTCGACATCGTTATTCTTCGAATAAGAGGTTGAAAGAGGTAGAAAATACCTGCTTGCTATGTACACAGAACATAATTTATCAGTRGGAAGTATCACTGAAGGACCACTGATCTTGACGGAGAATGTTGGTAATACTATAAAGGTAATAGAAAAACTCTGATTTAATGCATGTAGACCATGATAAAAACTGTTATCACATACAGGGCAAAATTACTCGATGCTGATTGGCTAATAGAGGAGGGCTTTTTTCCGTAATTCGCGGGGCCGAATTACTAGAATATGATTGGTAGTTCAGTTGCCTAGCAACGCTTGCAGACTGTAAACTTTTCTTTTTTGCAAACCGAAATAGCTTCATATTTTGAATGTTTTTTTAAAAATGGTTTTTGACTTGATCTTTTACAATTGCCATTTTTTCGGTTGAAGMACTTTCTCTGATTATTTAACACTTCGTTCAGCGGGAAAACGTTTACGAAGAATCGAGCCGAGAATATCCAATTTACAAGGGTTACAAAATTGTTCTTACAAACGTTTCCAAGTGCATGCGGCATTGCGGCTGTGGGGGAAACTATCCATCGTAAATATCAATGTAAATATTTTTTTTTTGAATATTTATAGTACACGGTAGGCTTTAAAGCGGCTATGAGCTTGTGAGGCAGTGTATCCCCCATAAACACTCCTTACTACATTCGACTATTCCATACAAAAAAGATCCCGGTTGATATCTAGTTATCAACCCCGTTTCAAGAACGAAACTTCCCMAATGATGACATAAGTAAAGKTTATATGCCTTATAATTAGGTGGATATGAGATATATTGCCTATGGTTGATATATTTCACATCAACCTCGGAAAAAAACGGTATATGACCTTAACTTATTTATCAATTGACATGGTTTTCTTGTTG